TCTGGTTCAGATTAGGATTAACTATAGACCAGTAATGGTTAATTTTAGGGAAAATGTCTGAGTTAAGCATAAATACAGTTACAAAAATGAATGGAAGTTAATGCAATGTGCTTAGTTTGATGCAGACACACAGATGTCTGTGTGTGTGTGTGTGTGTGTGTGTGTGTGTGTGTGTGTGTGTGTGTGTGTGTGTGTGTGTGNTTTTTTTGTTGTTAAAAAAAGAGCAGTGATAAAGAAAAATATATATAATAACGGAAACTGTTTGGTTTTGGTCAAATTTCTCTTCCTCTGTGTGTGTGTGTGTGTGTGTGTGTGTGTGTGTGTGTGTGTGTGTGTGTGTGATGTTTTGATTTGTGTGAGTGGAGTTCTGAGAACATGAATCATGCTTTCAGAAAATGGGTCTGAACAATGGATTTAAACTAAAAGTTTTGACAGAGTTTGTCAGTTGAACGTGTCACTGTGTGACCATCAGTGTCTGCAGGCCTGTGTGTTCACTGCTGCGTCAAAGCAAACAGGAAAAACTGTAACATAAAGATTGATGTTTAAAATAAAAGTTGATGTTTAAAATAAACATTGATATCTAAACATTTTAAGAAGATATTTACCAAAGGAAAAAAGTAGAGCAACTTTTCAGATCAATATTCAGTTTCAACTTGACAATACAATCCTTTAAAAGAAAAAAAAAACATTTTTACCGACGTAATAATTCTTTCTTTTTCATAATTAATCACAAAATATTAAACAGACAGTTGTGTCAGCTGGATTAGGACAGACCTGACAGACTCTGATTCAGAACTGGGTCAAAGTTTGACTCTCTTCACCCATTTACACACTGATGGTGCTAAGCTACACTGTAGCCACAGACTGATGGTGCTAAGCTACACTGTAGCCACTCACTGATGGTGCTAAGCTACACTGTAGCCACAGGACTATGGGGCACCGTTTGTAAAGTTACACAGTCAAAAATTACTTAGCCTTTCATACAGGGGTTTATTTTTCAAAGCCATATTTTCACCATTTTATTCACACATTTATAAATGCCATAGTTCCAAACTAAATATTTAATTTACAGGTACAGGATGACTCTCCAAAGCACCCCTCCACAGCTGTGATGATGATGATGATGATGACGATGATGATGATGATGTTATTAAGAGTTATAATAATAATATTATTGTTATCATTTTATTATGTTGTTATTATTGTTGCTTTTTTATTTCTTCACAAACACAAACATCTCTATCAGCATCCTTAAGCTCCAGAGTTAAAGTTTACTTCCTGTATGTGTCTCTGTGAAGTCTTCCGATGTAAACCAGAATCACTTGTATTAATTTCTTTTGGGGATTTTTTCTGATTTTCCCTGTTCACCTTTGTGAAACTCTCCTCCTCCACAAATACAGAGGTGGTTTCAGGTTAGATGTATTTTAAGAGGATCAGGATATTTATAGGATTTAATTATCTTGTTTCCACTGCTCCTTTTAGAAGCTGAAACCGGTTTGACTTGCGGTTTGCTCTGAGAGGAGGATGATGTAAACAGAATCAGGTCTCGCACCTCAGACAGGCTGTTTTATGTGATTTATGTTATTTTATTCAAACTGTCTCAGATTCACTGAGATAAAACTAAAATTACAGCATGATGGAAGATCTGCAGATTTATATTTACTCAGTTTTACTCAGGTTTAATGTAAATAAAAGTGAATTATTGGACCAGACTATTTCAGTCTGCTTGGTGTAAACAAATTCTGATATAAACATTTTGATGTAAACAGATTCTGAAATAAACAGATTCTGATGTAAACATTCTGATGTAAACAGATTCTGATGTAAACAGATTCTGATGTAAACAGATTCTGATGTAAACAGATTCTGATGTAAACAGATTCTGATG